TCCAATTCTATTGAGAGATTTCATTCCAATTCCTACCAACCAAATGCATGGTCAAATTCCATTCCAATTCCTTCAAAGTCAAATTCCTTTGATGGTTCCAATTCCATCAAATTCCATTATGTGAACCAAACACCCCCTAAATATTTTGAGGACTGTGAGAACCAGTATATGCATTGATGCATGTATAATACGTGAAAATCAGTGAGTATATGCATCAATGCACATATATTATAAATATATATATAGGGGACCTTCTTTTGAGAACTCTATGAATCATGAGGTCTTTGAAAACTAGTACATCATGTGCTATTTCATATGATTTTTTTTCCATCTATGGCTATAATTTAATGTAGTGATCAACATATATTTGTTTCACAATATTTTTGTATCACATGTACCCAGTTCACAATGTGATCCTTTTTTGATGTGTTTGTGAAACAAAAAGTACAGGTAAAAAAGATTCACATTATGAACCGAGTACATATAAAACAAACACATTGTGAAACAAATATATGTTAATAAATACATTGAATATTAGACTTAGATGGAAAAAAATCATGTGAAACAAAACATTAAGGTAGAAGTTCTCATGGATCTCACAAATTTTGGAGTTCTCAAATAATTAAGCCAACATATTTATGGTTCTCGTTTGAACCTTCCGTTGCTATATATAATATGAAATGTTACTTGAGCTTACACATTGCATCTCAATTACAGATTGAGGAAAGCAACTTGCAGGGTTGAGCCAGAATCAAGAATGAAGTACTCTAGTTATGCAGGTTTGCTCAACTATTTTATCTTGTTACTATCTAAATTTGTTACAGTTTTGATGACGAAACGTTGTCGAGTTGCAAAAAAGTAGTTTTTCGTTATCATCTTGCCATTTTTAACTATCGTGACCCCTTGTGAGAAGAGAGATTCGTTAGAGAATGGTGTGTTTTTCTTGATATTTCGAGGCGCGATTTGTTAGAGCGATCAACTTTACATACATCACAAACAAACCATCTAGCGGTAAATTACATGAAATTAAGTTATGTTCTAGTGGTAATTTTCATGAAAATGCATGTATTTTGGTTTGATTCATATTTTCTAACGTAGTTAGAAAACTGTCATATTGATCTTAAACATTTGGATTAAATTATGTTACACAAAATAGAAATCGAACTATAACACGTTGCATTTTCATGCAATTTTCAGTTGTAACCATAAACCAAGTATTTATGAGGTTTAAAAAGTATGGTATATAAAATAGGAATACACTTCCTTTAATGCATTTTGCTCAATTCTAGTTGGTCATAGAGTTCCTTCAACGTAGTTTTAAGTTGATTATTTATGGTAAAAAAACAGTTCACTTTTTTGGCCCAAACAATTACTCAAGTATCCGGTGAGCGTTTACCTAATCATTTACCTTATCAGGTAACATGACAAAGGCTGAAAATCTTACCTAGTAAGAGCGATGATAAGAATGAAGTCTTACCATGAGGGTGACATTCTTACCCAGTAAGCGCTTACTGGGTTGCATAATACGTTTTGAGGACTACAATGTTATCCTAACTCATAGTGTTGATTCTTACCGGTAAACATTTACCGGGTAAGTGTTTGGGTAAGCGGCCCCAATGTTGTCGTAATTTTGTTGACTAAATATATGGTTGTTTACTAATGCATAAAGGTTAAAAAGACATGATCGGAAGTGTCAACTATGGGTGTATATCGGTTGAAATTCAATGGGTTTAGGTGGATCCAGTTGAATTAATATTGGACAATCTATCTAATCTAGGGCTGACAATGAGTAAGGGTAAACCTGTTATCCGTTATGTTTCAGCCCATTGGATAAGGGTATGGGTAAAAAAAATTATCCACTTATCAATTACCGAACGTTTTAATTAGTAGGGTACGGATAAAGTGTTTTTCACTACTTAGTTACCCGTTCACACACACACACACACACACAACTATATAAAGTTAAATATCAATATATATTTTAGAATGTTATCTTATATGTTGTATAACGTATGTTACTTGGTATTTAATTTTCTTTTCATATTCTTCAACTAAAAGTGTTAATCAAAGGGTTGTTTGTTTACATCTTAATAGTTCTATTAAGAGGCAATCTCTTAATCGTTAAGAGGTGAATCTTGTTTGACAAAAAAAAATCTGTCTCTTAATGGTTCTAAAACTATTTGAATGATTTTGTATCTTGGGCCTCCGTTAACCATTCAGCGTCCTGATTTCATTGTAAACAGTTACCAAACAATTATATTTCATTTTGCATTATATCAAGAGAGCCTCTGAATCATTTTGACTACTTAATCTTTTTGCATCAAATCATTCAGCAACTGTCAAACAACCACTAAGATAATCAAATGAGAAGCAATATAGGGTCATTGAAATAAATAAAACAAACATAAATGTTGTCTTTAGATTATTATATTGTTGTGTAAAATATCACATTATAACATATTTAAAACAATGTCACAATGTTTATTGGAACAAATTACATGTAAAATAAAGATTATATTTATGAATTTATATTTTACTTATTTGTTGATGTTTAACAATATTATTGTACTTTAAAAAGATTTTTTTCACCGCATTTGAACCTTCGTGGCCACAAGGAGATTTTTATTTCTCATTGAATTTGAACCTGAGATCTACTGGTACTTTTGACCTTTGGAGCCAAACTCAAACCAATCAAACACCACCCTTGTGGTTATTTCAACAGACTCTTAATATCAGCTCTACAATCTTATTATTGTTTTTTAAAAGAAAATAGAAATTGAAATTTTGGACTTGTTTACTATTTTTTGGGATTTCATTTTAAAATAAAGTAAACATATTAAAAATATATACAACACTTAAGTATTAGTATTTATACTTTTCACTGACTTTATATGATGCGTCAAAGTTTAATTAAAAAAAAGTGTAGATACAAAAGAACTGAAGTGAGAGTTAGATTGCTCGGTAGAACTTTATCGAACACAAGCAAGAAAATCAGATACAATGTCCAAAGTTATTGTACAACAACGGAATTGCCAAACTTAAGCCTTCGGAGCTCGTGTTGCCTCCTAATGAACTGTCCGAGACTGTAGTATCTAGAGATTAAAAAGAAATATCGATGAATACATTCGTGAAAATGGCTTGGAATGATTTTTGTACATTAGCTTTCAAAATTATATGGGACCAGGATAACCTTGAGATCATGATCTATAATCTGTAAGTACTGAAAAGTTTTCTTGAACTGAGGCAAATGCATAATTAAGATGGATGGACATTCTCCAACACCATTGATTCTCTCCACCATCTTTCTCTCATATCCTTCCATCAACTTTTCAAGGAAAGAATCATCACTTTGGTAGCATAAATAGTTACTTGTAATCATGACTGACAAAAATATATATGGACAAATAATATTCCAGGAAGACGGTTATAATGAAAGCAGTTATAAAATCACATGCAGAGGATAAAAAAATTAAAATTAAAATCTGAATTTTATTGTTTTTTTTTTCTAAAATTAACTTTCGATTAGGATTTCTAACCCTTTTCCTATATTCATTTTTTTTTGAAGCATTTTAGAATTAGAAAAACATTACTTCAATTGGTACTTGGGGAACTGGCTCTACCATATAATATAGATAGTCCATCTCAGATCAGAAGTCGGCAGCAACAGCTCATCCATCAGGTAAAAAAAGCCAACATGTTACAGGTTGGTTCCTTACCATCATTTATTTTTCTTTTTTAGCAAAGAGAACACGAGGGAGCAAGTGGAAAGAGTAGAGCAGCACCTTGCCGTAGAGAGGGTCCTAGAAAGGTTAAGAGTTCTGCACCGGTTGGAGTGGAATAGGAATCTAAAACAAAATTCGGCCCAATTGGCTTTAACGAACGTATTTCATTAGAATGATCGAAGAACCCGCTTAGGAGAAATTACTTAAATAGTCAATTCGTTAAATTGGTCTATTTTAAAAACCCTTTTCTTGAATGGTCAATTGTCGAAGAATGTAAAAGCTCGAACGACCTTCAACAAAAGGGTACATGTACCCAAAACTGACACAGGTGGATAGGTAGAGAATACCTAGGGATGTGAGACAACTATCTCTATGAAACTCGCATAAGGGTCGAATTAATATCATTTTATATATTGTAATTTATTTAAAAGATTTTAATTTTTTAATTATTAATTTTATATTTTAAAGAATTATAGATAATAGGGTTAAATGCATGAAATAACAACTTACTTTCATAAAATTTCTTATTATAGCATTCTACTTTTGTTTTTCTTTCTTACAGCAATGTACTTTTAAATTATTTTTTATTAAGACATTGTACTTTAAAAAATCTACCCATAATAGCAATGGGTAACCTGTTACCTTTTAAACCGGTTAACTCTTTGACTTTTTTGCTTGTGTGGCTTTAATGAGGTGATGTGGATGCCACATCATTTTGATGACTTAACTAAAATTAAAATAAAAACTTATTTCAAATTATTATTAGTGATTTTCATTTTTCATTGCTATGACCTAAAAAAACATTTAATTTTTTTTAATTTTTCTTATTAAGTTGCATTCAAATTAAATATTATTAGAATAAAATATTTATTAAATAAATGTGAAACATTATTTTCGAGATATATTTTGTTTRTAAAAAAGATAACTTTTCCTATTTTATGTTGTTCAAATAAATACATATCTTTTAAAGTTCTCTTTAAAATATTAACGAAATAAATTGTTATCTATATTTTTTTTAATATTGTTATATTAATAAATAATTCAAAAAAAGTCTAATTAATTTAATATATTTATACGTCAAGTGAAAAGTTTTTAAACAAATATAATATATTATTTAAAAGATAATTTTTTTTGATAAAAAAATGAACAATTCTTATTTTCCTTTTTTCAAAAAACACATATTTTTTAAAAATGTTAACGAGATAAGTTGTGTTCTACTAGTTTTATTGATATTGATATATTAATGAATAATTTAGAATTTTTTAATTCATTTAATACATTTATTAAATAACATGTAAAATATCTAAATATTAAAATAAAAAATATAGTGTTTAATAAGAACTAGTAGATGTTATAATAAAATAATTTTGAAAGTACAATGATATGGCAAGAAAGTCACATCACTATAGTACATGTGGATAGCCTACGTGGACAATGAGGTGGCATGAAAACCTAGTATAATGGGTAAATTTAAATCAAAAGGTTACCCAATGCTATAATGAGTAAATTTTTCAAAGAACATTGTCCTAATAAAAATTAGTTTGAAAGTACATTGCTGTAATAAAAAAAACTGAAAATACAATACTATAATAAAGAAATTTATGAAAATAGATTGCTATTTTATATATTTTAGAATTACCAAAATCATGCAAATTTGGTACGATGAAATGATAAAAATAGGTTTGACATAGAATATTCTAGTTTTCTTGAGTTTTGAAGTACTTGATCGCGCCTTTCGTCGGTCACTTCAATGGCCTCCCGATCAATACCGCCGCCGTGGCAACTGGCCGCTCCGTGACCTTCCATGGCGGTCATGTCTGTTAAACGCAATTCCTTTCTTTCAAGCTTCAAAAACCTTCTTCCTTCACAGGTTCCTCTCTCATTTTATGTTTTTGTTTCTTTGAGCATTTCATCTAACACTTGGCGAGCAACGTATTTGTAAATTTCAACTGCAGAATCTTTACCATAAATTCATTGAAGATGGAAACAAGCTTCGATTCCGTAGCGACAAAGACTCCACTGTTCAGACATTGGGTTTGATTCCTATTGGTCACCCGTTAGAGGGCCACTGCCGGCTGTTAACTACAGGGCCGCGGAGGATTAATGGAGGTCTAGGTGCGCGCAAGCTGGACAGGAGAAAAAAAGACTCGGGTTTTGAACCAGGTATGTTCGGTCTCTGTATACAACGTAATGAAATTGGTCGTTTTTTGCTTAGAATTTTGAAGCAATTTGTTTGTTCTACTATACTATCATATATTTAGCAAATGCTTACCGTGCGGTGAAGAGAGCTACACTTTGACTTTTTGCAATGGCTAACCTTTTAGTTATTTGCAAAATTTATTTCAAATTTTCAGCAATGTTAACATCAGCATTATGCTGTTCGTATGTTTTTGCATCAAGTTTAATGCAGTTAATAAGATGTTCATCAAAACGGACATTTAAAGTCAAAAGTGTAGCTTTTTCTGCGAACTGAGGGAGTTATTCATGGTTTATAAGCTAAAAGAAAAACTGTGTCACCAAGCTTGTAAGTCTGTTGTTGGGTTTGTGCCCATTTGATTTTGGTGAAATTCAGTTATTGATCTTGGTATTTTGATGATAACTGACAGGTGAAATTAATGTTTCTAAATGGAAAAAGATGGATTCTAGATCATTGGGGATAACCAGATCAATGCTCCCCTCATCCCCCTTTACTGTTCTAAAAATTCTTCGAACCAGAGGTGATTTTTATTCATTTTACATTTTTATATTGGTAGCTAATTGATACTTGCTAAGATTGTTTCCTCTTGATGTTGTTTCTTGATTTTGATTTTTGAGTACGTTCTATCTTCCTGAATTCTATGTTTTCTATGGAAACAAATAGTCAGCTGATGATATCATAAAACTTGATATTTGATTATGATATCAGAACCTAATAAATTTTGATGACCACCAAACCTATGAATACACCATTCAACTTCATTAAGCCTTTTCAAGGTTGAAGTGTTACCTTTTACTTTATATGTGCATTTGTCTCTCTAGACTGTGGTACATTCTTCCCTAAAATCCCGTGTCCTAAGTACCATGCCTTTTGGTTGCTTTTCACTATCAGAGCTTCTTTCACTGATTGAAGCCAACAAGAAGCCAATGAAACTTGGTGCATTCTCTATATTCTTCTATAACCAGATCCATGTATGTCATGCAATTAGCCTATTATTGAATTTTGCATACCTTGCCATTGGATGCCATGTTCTCAATAGTTCTATCCAGCCTCTTCATTTTTGAGTTCCTTTATTTGGGATATTTTCTATGATAAACATATTCATTTCATCACTTCCCCTTTTGCACATTTTTGGTCTTGGTCACTGTTCTAGAAATATTACTAAGATGGTGTTATATTATACTTTGCCTCTGACAAGGATTCATTATTCGCCACTTCTACCTACCTAGCAGTTATTAGGCAAAATTACTTATATAACCTACTATAAAAAATGTGTAAATCCCCATCGTTATTTATATCTATTCATTCTTTCTAAATACTCTATTGACGCTGACAACAAGGATTTTCCTTACTTCATATGTTTCAAGCTAAAAAGAATTACTTTCATATAGAGACTGCAGGGTTCAGTCAAATCAAGGTCTGGTTCCTTTTTCTGTAATTTCTTTCTTTTGTATCCTGGATGATTTCTCATCTTCTGTACACACAGTCAAATCAGTTTCTTTTGTACCCCGAGTCCCTTCTCCAAGGGGGATATACTGGGTACGTTTGGTTTATGTGAAGGAAAAAAACACTCTTAATGCAATAAGATTAACATATCTGTCAAATAAATTGAAATTTGAACATGATAAAAGGGAAAAGTTCTTCACGTTGGAATATATAATAGGGGGGATTCAGTTGTGTGTATAAACAGACATAAAATTCTATAATGTATTGCGTTATAGAACTTTGAAGTACTACATATTCAACTCGCTTGGGATAAAAGCTCGTTGTTGCTACATACCATGGACCCTGGTGACACACCAATTGAAATCACCTCCCATGAATTGTGTAGTACCAACTAAATATTTCATGCACCCTACTGTGAACCACTGTGGGTTTCCTAAAAGCTTTTAATATTGTTGTATATTTATAGTTTGTGTGCATCACTACATCAATGCTGATATAGATTTTACCCTCTAGCTTTCATCTTTTAATTGGTGAATCCTCATGAGAACTTCATTATGTACAGGATTTGAAGCCTACTTGGTTGGTGGTTGTGTGAGAGATTTACTTCTAAAGAGAACACCAAGAGATTTTGATGTTATAACTACAGCTGATCTTCATCAGGTTTTCCTTCTTTGAAACTACAGCATTGTTGTGAATTTTACATGGCTTATATTATTTATGGTACTGTCATTCTTGATCCCGGTAATTGTATGTGATGTTAAGTATATATGCTATTTTTGCAGATTAGGAAGCAGTTTCATAACTGTCACATTGTTGGACGCAAATTTCCTATATGTAGGGTGCATATGAAGGGATCAGTTATCGAGGTAGGCTGTTGTATTCACTTAATCGTTATATATAATCTTTTCCTCAGTTGTTTTGTGTTATTAGGTAAGTGGCCAACTGTGATACAATATGTTAAGCGTTCTTTATATAATTACATTCCATAACAGGTATCCAGTTTCAAGACTTCCGCAAAACATTCTGAAGATAAAGAAAAATTTCTCGTCTCTCAAGTGCCTAGAGGCTGTGATAGATCAGATCTTAATCTCTGGAAGAACTGTATGCATCGTGACTTCACCGTTAACAGGTATTTTCTGCTGCTTTGTTGTATGATTTTGTAGTCCTCGTGTGTACTGCTCTGTGGTGGATTATTTCCGGCTCTAATCACGGTTGCCAGTTATCATGGTCAAGAGTTTCTATTTTTTTATTTTAAAACGCAGTTCTGGTGAAGAGTTTCTTGTTTTCACCTTTTAGTTCCAGTTTATCCATATTTTATTTCATTTGTTGATTTTGCTATGATTTTGTGGAGCAGCTTGTTTTTTGACCCTGTTATTCACAAGATCTACGATTACTCTAATGGAATGAAAGACTTGTTGGAGCTAAAGGTTAGATATAATCATCTGCATTTTCTCATCTCATTTCCTTAACTTTGTAAATTATATCACATTGAGTTGGGTTCCCATAATCGGACTTGAACCCTTTTTCTTTATGTGAAATTGATCAATTCCAGTTTTTTGTAAGCTTTTGTTGTGATGTGGTTTCAGCTACGAACATTAGTACCTGCCCATTTGTCGTTTTCAGAGGACTGCGGTTAGTTAAATCACTATTTCAACCATATATTATGTATGGTGGCAAATTTTAGTTTTTTATCTTGATGAACCAATAGTAGGTTTTGATGGTGCTCTTCTGTTCAGCAAGAATACTTCGGGGACTGAGAATTGCCGCTCGTCTTGGCTTGTCATTTTCAAAGGACACTGAGACTGCAATTCATAAACAAGCTTCATCTATTTTGGTTTTAAGCGAGGTACCTTTTTCTACTTCATTAGGAGTACTGATTCAATGAGACAAGAGTGTGTGTGTGTTAAAATAAATTGTTCACACTTCTTACAGCATTTATCACCCAAGCCACTTGCTTCTCATGATGCGAATGAAGATATCGATTTTGAATTTCTTGATACAGCACCAAACAGAAATCGTCACAAAACCTAGCCTCCAATTTCTCCTTGTTGAACGCAGTCTTGTTTGAGGATATGCTAATTACTAGTCACAATGTGTTACTGGGATCAATAGACCATATCATGTGGGATCTTGCGAAGTCCCAACTTATTTTCAAGAATATTGTGTTCATTTGGATAAACTGATTTTTCATTTATTTTTTCTAGTGAAGTACTGAAGTAAGATGTCTCAATTCTCTTTCTTCTTCTGTTGTTTAATATCTTGTTTATTCAGTCCAGGATAATGATGGAGATCGATCTTATGCTGTCATTTGGGGCTTCAGAGTCTTCACTTCGTCTACTTCACAGATTTCGCATTCTTGAGATGTTGCTACCACTTCAGGTAATTCATGATCAGTATTTCTGTATAATTGTTCTGAAATAATATAGTTAAGATAGACTAAGTTCTGAAACTGTTGGATTGTAGGCGGCATATATTTCTAGACAAACCACTGGATCTGGCGAATGTACCATGATGCTAATGGTATGCTCAGTAGCTTTATCTCAATATTTGAATATGACATTGCATCTATATGTCTATCGTCATATTGCATCTATATGTCTATCGTCATGATATCCTCTCTTTTTGCTAATGCATTTTATATCTCATTTCCAATTTGTGGGTCTCATTTTTGTGTCAAGAGGATCAGATATCTTATATAAGGCTCCACTTTTCACCATCTTTTGGCTTCCTGGTATAATGGTGCCAACATTTATGCCTGTGGAACCTACAGAATAGGATATGAGAAATGACTATAATTGGCTAATTGAATCAAATCTTTTCCTTTCTTTTTATTTCGCATGCTTTTTTTAATTGACAGATGCAATTCGTTTTTTCAGAAGTTGTTCTCCCATATGGACAAGTTTATTACCTGTGATCGGCCATCTGCCTGTCGCTTATGGTAAGTTACTTTCTTTTTGAAGCTACATATATTAGTTTCAGTCATAGACTTAGGAAGTTAGGATCATGTAAGACGAGGCTGTTTTTGTGAGACCCGTGAGACCACCTAAATAACACTAAACCTTCACAAAAACACTGTGAAAGTAACCTCCAGAATGTTTTTGTTGTGAAGCTTCGGAGTTTTTTTAACCTTCATAGTATTTTGCTGTGAAGTTTCAAGTTTTATTTTGTGATCTCACGGGTCTCATGAAAACAGGTTGGTCTCACGTGAACCCAACCCTTCAATCATATATATATTTATATATATATAGTCGAGGTTTATCTTCCTCATGTTTATTATAAAAACTAAACCGTCTGTACTGCAAGCCATGAGGGTTTATTTGCCAATAGCTTCTAAAATTATGCTTTTTTGTTTGAAACAGGATCGGACTTTTGGCATTTCATCAGGCACTACTAGATAAACCTCAAGACCCTTTCGTAGTTTTGAATTTTGCTTCCGTTCTATATCATCAAGATTGGCAAGGTGGTCTTCAATTTGCAAGGCAATGTGGTCGAGCACCAGTCAGTTTTGAACCTGAACTTTCAGAGCCATGTGGTTCAATCTCCGATGATGAGCTTTCCATAAAAGTACGCCAATTAGCGTTGCAGGTGCTAGATTCAATTGAAGCTTTAGTGGAGACAGATAGTCTGCACAAAAAAATGTCGAAATTCCCTGGTTTCCCATGCTCGGGTTTGGTAAGTCAATCGGTTTCAAGTCTGCTCCCTGTGTCCCATGAAAATTGCTTTGTTTTACTGAGAAAGACCGTTGTTCATTGCCTCGACATAGGTTCACCTTGTGTTTACTGGCAATTTTTTTACTCAAATCCAAGCACCTCTTAGTATTTTTCGACTCTTTCTCGTGTAATGCTCTACAATTTACCACTTAAGATCATCCGTAACTTAAGTTTTCAGGTTGGAACTTAAGATTACTTCCAATACAAAGTTAATGGACTTTTCTTTTTATCTTTAATTTTTTCAGATCTTCATACCCAAGAAGTCTGCACGTGATGCTGCGGAACTCTTCCACATTCTAGCACGTAAGGTGGAAACTTACAATAAGGGAAGAAGTTCGTTTGAGATGAACTATCACTTGCTCGGAAAAGGAGATGCATCAGAGACTAGATTTGCCGTGGGAAAGATCATCCTGAATACTATGGGCTGCAAGGTTGATCAAGATGATGATGATGATAACCACCCTTCATCTTCTCGTGCAGAAAGGGGACATTTTTCGCCATCTGATTCAAGACTACACCAGCCCAATATCTATAACCCCAAGAAGCAACAACCGATTGCAAAATTAAGCGGTAATAAGAAGCAAAATTCAGCAACAGAGAAAAAGAGCGAAGATGGATCTTTTCTCGAGTTGGAACAACAGAAAGAGGTGGTTTCTAAGCAGCATATTGGAGCACTTAGTAACTATTCATGTCCAAAAATGGAGGTATGATTTGATTTTTAATGTAGTTCCAATTGCTGATTCAAAGTAGTTTCAGTTATTTATCATTTCTCTAAAATGATTTACTCTAATGTCAATCCAACTCCTAGAAGCATGGCATGAGGTACATCTCTGACGCCATGTTAACCCCCATGGCGTCTGTATTAGGCGCGCCATGGCATGTTATGGCACAAAAATTTTTGAACACGTTATTTGACTTATTAATATTTCTTAAAAAAATGTCATATTTTTACTTCTTACGTTGTAATGAGCCTTTGATATAACACCTTTTGTAAGGAGGCAGGTTATTTAGCTAAATGACCTCTCTTGACCAGCTTTTTAATCCTTGACCTTCTGAGCGGTTTCTAGGCATTTTTGTTATGGAAGTAGCATTTTTGTGCCAAGCAATGACATTCTCAAACCTGTCGGAAGGTCATGGATTTAAAAAATCTCATAGAAGGTCATTTAACCAAATGACCCTTTTGTGTGCTCCATATATATATATATATATATATATATATATATATATATATTAATATGATTTTTCTTCTTTTTTGATGAAATTAAATTGTTCAATATTATTAAGTAATAGTAAAAACATAGATGCACATATATAATTATGGGGTTGGGTTCCAGTGAGAAGGAGAGTTAAGGCGAAAAGTGTAAGAAAGAATCTCTGATGCAAATTAGGATGAGATGCACCAGATCAATCCCCGTATCAAGCGTGATTCATGGGTGGGTTTGAGATTAAAAGTGATCAAGGGTACAAATCACTTCTTACGCTCCTCACTTTAACTCTCTTTATCACACGATCCTTCGCCTATATAATATATATATATATGATAAACTGACTTGCCGCCTTAAGCTAAGGCATGAACCCTAATCTTGCCGCCACGCCTCATGTCATTTAGAGCCTTGCTTAGAAGTCATGATTTGACGAGACAAATAGTTTTATAACATTGTTGACTACTGGTCAAATGTCTTTCAACAATGACAGAATGTTGTGGATTACAATCAATTGCATCAATAAATAGCTATCCTCAACCTAAACTGATTCTATATTTGAACCTTGCCATAAGAGGAAATCTCGTCATTTTCATGGAACAGAGGAAGCCTCGTGTTCTTTTCTAGAATCAGGGATTAATGCATATCGTTAACAACTTTGCAGGATTATGCAACGGAGAAGCCCCAAGAGATGAGCGTATCTCAATCACCAACACAGAAGCTCGTTTGCAAGCTGGGAACAGCAACCGAAAATGAAAAGTTTCCATCCGAGTTAGAAGCTCAAAACCCTAAAGAAAAACTCAATATAGATGCAGTAGTACAAGTAGATAATTTGATAACCAAGGAACAAAGTGTGGACAGAAGGAAACAGGCGCGGCCACTGTCATCTCTTTTCAAGTGAACGCCACCGCTACCGCTAATTTTGAAGAGGTACGATTTACGTCACCATATTACATATCCGTCTTTACGCTCTTAAATCTTAATGTTAAGAAAAAGTAACCAAAATTAGAAGTATGTAATGTAGCCAATGTTTGCATCATTTGCATCACCATTCATTGATCCGAGGGAACTTGAACCGATTACTTCTATAGAGCAAACCTAATATCTTATCAGTTGAGCTACCTTTCATGGCTCGTTTGTGTTGTTTTCTACTTCCATTTTTCTCAGTTGGAAAACGGTTGTATTTTGTGTTTTTAGTGGTAGGTTAGAAATACAGGCTATTTGTATCAGCTCATTGTACTCGTTTATCTTTCTAACTTCAAATTTAGAGGAAAATAACATGTTTCAGTAAATTGGATTGTGCTTTAAGTTTTTACTAGAAGAGTACTCGCGCAATGCAGCGAGATACATCGTGTTTTTAATATTTCATTTTATTCTTTATCTCAGTCGATGTTATAATATG